TGTGAAGGGGAGTTTAGGGTGATGCGCAGGAGGGGCAGCAGACCCTAATCAGAGTCCTGGAGGATGGACAGCGGGTAGGGAGCCCAAGGGAAGACGAAGTTAGGCTGTGGGGTGGGAGAGTGTATAGGAAGAAGTATTGGCATATGTGAGGCTAGAAGAGAAAAAGGATGCAGGTTTTCCAAGAAACGTGAAGGAGCTCCATGCGGCCAGATGCGAGAAGAATAATAAGTCTCATGGTTAGACTTCAGCCTTCCCCGGGTGACAATCCTTGCCGGGCTGAGTGTCCTTGCCCAAACTATCTGGCAAGGACACTTGCCCAGAAGTGAGTTCTGTAACTCACTTTCATTCTCTGTAAAATGGATGTGAAGAAAATAATAGTACCTACTTCATTGGTTGTGATAAAGATTAAAATGAGCTAATACACGTGAAGTGCTTCCATTGTTTGTGGCATGCAGTAAGTGTTACAGAAACGTCAGCTGTAATTAGGTGAGAAATGATGGACAGGAAGCTTGGAGAAGTGAGCAGTTCCACACAACTGGAATGAACTCTAGCGAACCGAGCAGAATCAGAAAGACCCAACTCCTGCCCACAGGCAACATGCAGTATTGAGTTGTTAAAAACCTGGACCTGGAGTCAGAGAGACTTGGATTCCAATCTCATCTGTGTGACCTTGGACAAATTATTTGCCCTCTTTGAGCCTCACTTTTCTCCTCTGTAAAATGGGCATAATGATGGTGTATTCCTTAGAGTGTTAAAGTGAGTACTAACTGAGATAATATATGTGAAGTAAAGAGTATATAAAACACATTATTAGAAAAAATCGTAGCTATTATGATCATTGGTATAAAATGAAAGGGAAACAACATTAATATAAGGGAGACCATCTTTTAATAACCAGGATAATGATGCTTTGGAGTCTACAACTTCTCAGAAGCTTCCCTTTGCTCTAGAATAAAGATGTGCCTAATTCATTGGCTTCATCTCTTGTCTTCCTCTTTCTCTCTCATTACTTCATCTATTCTGTTTGTATATACACTGCCCAGAAAGTTCCACTCCCAAACCTTCAGATCGTAGGTGAAACATCATTTACCGGGGGAAGCTTTCCCTGACCTCAGACATGGTTAAGTTTATGTTCCCTTGCCGCACGTTCTCATAGTACCCTGTGTTTTGATTCACATCTGTTTTCCTATCTAGACTATAAGATTCATGAAGCCAGAGGTCATATCTGTTTTACTTATTATTGTATCTCCAACACTTAGTATGGTCTCCATAATAAACAAACCAATAAGTATTTACTAAATAAATGTAATAAACAAGAACGCAGTGCAAGAATAAACTCTTAGGGAGAAGCTGGAACCTGTTCCTAAGGTCCAAGAACCATTCATAGAGCAGTTTTCCAAGGTCCCTCTGTGTTCTCTAAGTCAAAACGGCAGACTCCGAGACCCCGTTCCTTTGCCTGGACAGCAGTGTAATCGATACATCACACAGTAATGAACCGAAGGGCTGATTAAGAGCTTATGTAAATGTTGAAAACTTTGGCAGTATTCATTTCCCTCGGATTTTGCCATGACTCAAAGGACGGGAATTTTTCAAAAACGCTTTTAGAGCATACCCACACCCAACTATGGAAACCTTAGAAGAATGTAGTTCAGGGAATGTCCCTTGGTGAGGGATTAGGAGGCTCCGAACACGTTTTCAAAGGCATATGGAGACAAGATGTCAGTAGGAGCTTGTTTCTCTGACAGAATCTGAAATGCTTTTACCCAGCAAGTTTCCAAGAGGCTTTTAAGTGAAGAGGTTAATGTTGTAGATTTATAAATAAATGGATGTTTGTGGTGACTTCATTGTGGTTCATGTGACAGGGCAGACTGCGGGAGAGGGGAGAAGAGATTACGCCTTGCATCAACAGCTTAATTGCTTCTCCTGCCTCTCGGTTCAGTGAGCAGGAGTTGAGAGAACTCTGGATGAGGAATCGTGGAACTTTCTTTCTAATCCTAAGCCTCTGATGAGCTGTGTGACCATGGGCATAATAGTAACTGTTCTCTGCTTCAGTTTTCATTTGCCCGATGAATGAAAAAATTCCTTCATCCAAGTGTTGTAAAATTGGCTTGTAATAACAGTTGCTAAAACTCATTGAGCCCTTACTATGTGCCAGCACGTTTATGGACTCCCTCTATTGATCTTCATAGCAACCTGTGAGATAGATTACTATAATTACCCCATTTTACAGATGAGGATGGCCCAAGGTCAAACAGCTGGTAAGTGGTGGAGCCATGATTTGAACCCAGGCTGTCTGGCTCTGGAATCAGTTTTAATGACTGTGCTACACTATACTGTCTTTCTAGGTAGTGGGTGCAAGGGTTGGGAAGGGCTTCAAGAAGAATAAAGCTCAATTGCTTGCTGGCTGGCCAGGATCTCGAAAGAGAGTCCTTAGTGGGAAGGAGATGGGTGGAGTGGCTGCCAAGGAGAGACAGGACGTCTCTGTGGTAACTGCCCCTCCAGAAGGTGAGGTTTATATTTTTATGGCTAGTATTGGGGAATGAGAGTGCTGAGACCCTGGGCTTCCATCCAGTCTTGGCCACTTAGTATGTGACTGACTATTAGGGGAAGTTACTAATCTGATCTCAGTTTTATAGTTTACCTGAAAAATGGCACTGTTAAGTCTACAGGGTATTGTGTGGAAAATGGCTGCACATAGCGGGCGGTCAATGAGTTTCTTCCACCCCCTTTATATCATGGTCCCAAGAAGATGAATTTAGTTAGTGTCAATCATACCCCAAAACTACTTTGGAATGTATTTATTCTTTGGGTTTTTCAGAGCGCCCGTATTTTATGTTGGAAGTGTTTTTCAGCTCAGGGCAATTGATAAGTTTTCAGGTTCACTTCCACACTCATATTTGTCTATGGAAGAGCAATTTCCTTTTCCTTTGGTCTGAGGCAGATGAAAATTCTCGATGACATTTTAGCCTTCCTGAAAGACATAACACCTAGACTCTGTCTATACTTGTGAGGAGTTTGTAAGGAGTGAAGTTTTCTATGAATTGTGTCATCAAGGCTGGAGCATTTTTTACTCCAAAGGGGATAGTCATATTTACTGTATAAGCTGGGGCTGAGCAGATTAAAACAAAGATGAGAACTTCTGATTAAAGACTCGCCCTTAGTGCTGGGCAGACCCACCTAGGTATGATTAAATTATTTGAGTCCTAATTCACATTGACAAACAGGAGTGTTTAAATGAGGGATCACCAAGAGGTGGAGAGACTTGAACACTTGTCATGCAAGGAACAGATTGTTTTTTGAAAGGTATATGGTAAGGCAGAGGCAGAGCCATGGGGAGTCTCACGTAGACCTCGAACTTACTCCTACTCCACACACACACACACACACACACACACACACACACACACACACACTCCAGATGGAATGCCCTAAACGATGACTCAGAGTCATTAATAACATGACCACTTGTGCAGCCCAAAGATTAGACAGCCAAAAGCCAAGAGTCTGTTATGTTGAAGTGGCACTGGGTGGGAAGCACTCTCTCCAGAGACCGGGGCAGAGTGACTGGGGCAGGGTATGACTTGCCAGAGGAGGGTTCACAGAATGTTTAGACTGTGACTCATGAAGGTCTTGGATGAATAAATAGCTCTCTTTCTGCTGTGACTGTTGACAGGGCTGGTGACAGCTTACCTTTGCAGTTGCCAAGGAGAATCTGACTCTGATTTTTGACAAGTTCAACTTTTCTAACCAGCCGGGCCCTCCAGAGGGACCACCATGAACAAAGACCTGGCCAAGTATAAGGGGCAATGAAGCAATGGGTGATATTTGGAGGCATGAAATCAGAAGAGCAAACATCTCTTCCCAGCCAAGGAAGAGTCATTGATGAGAAGGGAGGATTGGAGGAAGAAAATTTTCTGCTCCCAGGATTGGGAGAACATTTTCATGTGGCTAGCTGGCCATAGACTACCACTTTTAACAAAGTCTTAGAGCTTCATAATTCTGGTGAGAAGAAAGGTAGTACTCTTTCTGGAAATGACTATACAATTTAGGATATATTTGGCTGCCAGTAACAGAAAAATCTGATAGTGTTTTAAGCTATGAAGATATTTGATTATCTCATAGAATAGGAGTCTGGAGGTAAGTATTCTAAAGTGAGAACAGCAGCTCAATGGCGTTATCAAGATGCCAGGAACTTTTCCATCCTTCTACCTTTCCATCCTCCATATGTATATAGGTCATTGATTCTTCTGCTGTTTGCCTCATGACTGCAATATGGCTGCCAAACATCCAGACGTCACAACAGTGTTCATAGATAGAAAAGTGTCAAGGGGATAGGGGTGTGGAGTAGCAAAGAATCCTTTTCCTTGAATGACTATGCCATTTTATCAGTGAAGGAACAAAAATATCCCAGAAGTCCTCCAAGCTAACTTACACTTACATCTAATTGACCAAAATATTATTAACCCAAACTGGGTCACATGTCCATCCTTAACTGCAAAGGAGTCTGGGAAAGAGACTGTCTGGCAAATGTTAATGGAATAGCCATGACTGACTTAGACCAAACGTAATTCAACCACCTCAGGGCTGGGCACCTTGCTGTCTTGAGTAAAATTGATATTCTGTTGGCAAGGAAGTTTATTGGGGGTAGAAGAATGGTTTCTGCCATATAGCCTTAGAAAGCTAGTTAAACATTACGCTATGAAGGCACATCATTAATATAAAATAAAAAAAACAGAGATAGAGGTGTGAATTTGCAGAATTTTCAAGACGGAAAGGTTTATAGGAATGTGATGGATTCCAAAGACTGTCTTTGTGTGCCAATAGAAGATTGCAGAAAAAAATAAATTACTTAATGTGCCCTTTGTTGTAATAATCCTTTGAGTCCCTGATCTTCACCTGCTCTGTGACCATTCCAACCCCCTCCAGACAGAGCTGGCCAGTTCCTCTTCACTCCCATTGCACTTTGCACACACCTTGATTATACAAATCACCACACTCAATTCAGAGTCAACAGAAATTTATTGTGTCCCTACTCTGACCGGGTCCTGTGCTTGATATTCTATCTGCATCAGTTCAGGAGAGACCTTCCATGGCTTCTCGTTGTCATCAGGTACAGGGAATTCATGGAAGGTAAACTCAGGTGAATTTTTAACTTAGCTCACAAGGCCCTTTGTTCTCACCCAGGCTCACTTCTCTTGTCTCACTTCTTGCTCCGCCTTTTCTTCGAATCCTACATTTTATCTATTCTCAACTCGTAGAAGCTGCCCATTTCTTCTCTTCACGCCTTTGCACTGCTAACCTTCTTCATAGAACATTTCGCTTCTGTGCCTGGCCAGCTTTCACTCATCCTTCAGACCTCAGCTTAGATGTCATTTCCCCTGGAAAACCTTTCCTGGCCCCCAGGACTGGGTTAAGTAGCCTTTCTCTGTGTTCTTTCACACTCTGTGTGACACAGTTCTAAGTCACTCTATAGTGCAACTCCTGGGTTTCCCAGCAGTGGGACCTGGTTGCATTCACTCCTTTATTGCCAAGTGCCTGGTGCAGCGCTGATCCATGCTGGTAGATATTTGTCGAAGGCTGAATGACAAAAGTTATTCATCACATATTTAGTGCCGGATCACATAGCAGAGCACGCAGCTGCAGCCCTGGTCCAGAGGAGGGGATCTCTGAGCACTCATTGCGGCTGTAAGTAAACACTGGGCCAGTTGCCTGTCACTGTGCGACTGTGGGCAAAGCATGTCCTTTATCTGAGCACCAACATTTTTTTTCTAAAACTAATGAAAAAGAGAGAGATGAATTAGTTTTCGACTTTTTTTTTTTTAAAAGCAGGAAAATTCCCCTTTGTTTAATTTTCCAAATGAATTATCACGCTGAAATCTGCTCACAAAAACAATAGAGGAGGGGCTCTGACTGAAGCAGGGCCATAGTACAAGTTTCCTTTGCTGCTGTAACAAATGACCACAAAGGTAGTGGCTTAGAACAACATGACTTTATTATCCGACAGTTCGGTGTGTTAGAAGTCAGAGGGGTCTCTCTGGGCAACAATCAAGATGTTGGGAGTCTACGTTCCTTCCTGGAGGCTCCAGGAGAACACCATTTCCTTGCCTTTTCCAGCTTTGAGAGGTGACATTTCTGGGTTCATAGCCCTTTCTTCATCTTCAAAGCTAGCAATGTGCATTTCTTTAACCATTCTTCCGTAATCATGGTTCCCTCTGACCATAGTCTGGAAAGGTTCTTCACTTTAAAGACCTGTGTGACAAGATTGGGCCCACTTGAACAAACCTCAGTCATCTCCCCATCTCAAGGCCCTTAATTTAATCAGATCTGTAAAATTCCTTTTGACATTTAAGGCAACATAGTCACAGGTTCTGGGAGTTAGGACATTGACACCTTTGAAGGGCTATTATTCTGCCTACCATAGGGGAGAGAAGACTTTGGGAGAGGGTAGGAGTCTCTCTCTCTGGCTTCCCTTCCTGGGGTGCCCTTGCCTCCACAGTGGTCCCTGGAGCCTCAGAGCAGAGGGTAAGACCTCCACGGTCTCTAAGATCTCTTCTAACAACTGGCTGAATAGCTCTGTGGGCTTGGAAAGTTATTACCTCTCTATCCTTCCATTTTCCCAACTGCAAGGTGGGGATAAGTCTGTCTATCTGATAGAATTGTGCTGAGGTTACAAGAAACAATCTATTCAAAGTGCTTAGCCCAGTGCTTGGCACATAGTCAACGTCCAGCAAGTCTTAGCTCTTTTCATTATCAGGTGCCTAAGGTTCTTTTCCATGCCAAAATCTGGCTCCATCACCCCAATTCAGAATATATCTGCAGCAGATGAGAAACTGATTTTCCTAGGTCATTTAGCCACCACGCCAAAATTCTTAAAAAGTTTAAATTATTTTACCTCCAAAATAAAGCATGTTTTTTGCGCCTCTGGGATCAGAGACGTTTTGTTTTTTTGAGCATCTGGAAAAAATGGTTAATCTGGTGGGTACCAATCAGAATGTAGCAGGTGTCGGCTCACATCAGAAAGCCATATGAGGCCCTGGTGTTTCTTTAGGAACTGGCCGTGGGACAGTTTGTAAAACACAAATACCAGGGAAATTTACCAAATTTCAGGCTAGAATTTTATAACTTCTGGAAGAAGCACCATATTCCAGATGATAATAAAAAATCTGGCCTTCTACAAGTAAATAGCCTCTCAAGTAACTTTTGAAGACCGTCACGGTAACATTCATGGGAGGGGCCAGTCCTATTCAAGAAATATATGTCTCTCTTGTCTCCAAGCCTCACAGTGGCATCTCTGAGCTAGAGCCAACTGGGCATGGAGTGTCAGTAATGTTAATTGTATTCATCCTTTCTGATTTAGTCACACCACTTGGAGGGTTCTACCCTAAACTCAAAATGTGGAAAAAAACTTTAGGCACAAAGACGTTAATTGCAGCTTTATTCATAATAGTCCTAAATGGAAAGCATCTCAAATTGTCTGTATTAGGAGAGGGCCTTAGTAAATTATGGCACATCCAGTTAATGAAACAGAAGGTAAGCCAGTGCTTAGAAGGAGCTTTGAAGAACATGAGAAACTGCTTATGGCATATTCCCTGAAAAAAACAAAGATGCAGGATACACATTTGTATATGTAGTCTGATCTCTACATTGTTAGGAAATACATCAAAAAGTTATTTGTGCTTTTGCTTTTTCCCAGGCATTTGGAGTATGGAAAATGGTTCCGTTCCTCTCATTACTCTTTTCTGATACTTCTCATCTTTTACAACAGAATGAACGTATAGTGTACTGGGTAGGGAGCGGACCCTGTTGCCTACTGACCTGCCTCTTCTCTGAATGTCAGTTTTCTCATCTGTCATGTGGGAGCAATCATCATTCTGGGCTGTGAGCACGAAAGAGTGAAGGGCTTGACACAGCCCTTTGTACACAGTAAGTGCTCAAGAGATGCCAGCTAGTATTGTTATTTTCAGATTGCTGAACCCTCTCCAACAAAACTAAAAAGAGGAATATATAGTGCTCGCTTTGGCAGGACATATACTAAAAAGAGGAATATATAGTCTGCTCTCCTACATTTAATTCAGTCAAAAACTTATCCCAAAGAGTTATTAAATAATTTTTCTTGTTTCTAGTTGTTAGTCACCTATGACATTTGGAGAAACAACTAAATGGTCAGCAGCTAAAAGCCTTTTGAATGAGAATACTCAGTTCTTCTATTTGGAGAAAAATTGAAGACCTCAACTTTCTCTTCATCTGCCAACAACTCCTACTCTTCTACCCTCTCTAAGAGTCAACCCCCATCCCTCAACACTTTTTGGGGGTTCTCCCTAGCTGCACATCTGTATATTCATCAACTGTGTACCGATTTGGGTGCACATAACAGAAAGCTGACCAAAATAGTATAAATGAGTGTATTGGTAATTTATTGCTGCATAACAAACTGCCGAAAATTTAGTAGCTTAAAACAATATGCATTTATTATTCACAGTTTCTGTGGATCAAGAGTCTGGGCATGGCTTAGTTGGGTCCTCTGCTCAGGGTCTCACAAGACTGCAACGCAGCTGTGCTGCATTCTAATCTGGAGGCTTGGCTGGGGAAGAATTCACTTCCAAGTTCATTCACGTTGTTTGTACTATTTTCCCCTCGCAGCTGTAGGACTGAGGGCCCTAGAATTTTGCTTACTGTAGACCACCTTATCTCCTAAAGGCCACCTACAGTTCCTAGAAGCTTCCTGAAATTTGTAGAGGCTTCCCACAGTTCCTAAAGACCACCTTGCCATGTGGGCTTTTACAATATGGTTGCTTACTTTATTAAATCAGCAAGGAGAGTCTCTAGAACAAGTCTGCTAACAAGATGAAGCCTATATAAAGAAACGTTATCATGGACATGATAACCTTTGCCATAGTCTATTGGTTAGAAGCAAGTCACAGGTCCTACCCATATTTAAGGAGAGTGGATCACACAAAGACATACTCACCTGAAGACGGGGATCATGGGGGCTACCTTCCAGTCTGTTCACCATCACAAGGAAGGGGGATATTTTTTCATGGTAACAAGAAGACTGAACACAGGTAGATAGGGGTTGAGGGAGCATCTCCATGTTGCTATCCATGCCCTAGGCTCTTTACTTCTTTCTGTTTTACCATCTTTCATTTTTTTGGTCATAAGATTGATGCTGCTATTCTAGACTCACATCCTCATTTAAAGCAGGAAGAATGGGGAAGAGAAAAAGACACATGCCAGCTAAGTATGACTCTTCATCAATAAAATAATAGATTCTGTAGGCACAAAGACGTTAATTGCAGCTTTATTCATAATAGTCCTAAATGGAAAGCATCTCAAATTGTCTGTATTAGGAGAGGGCCTTAGTAAATTATGGCACATCCAGTTAATGAAACAGAAGGTAAGCCAGTGCTTAGAAGGAGCTTTGAAGAACATGAGAAACTGCTTATGGCATATTCCCTGAAAAAAACAAAGATGCAGGATACACATTTGTATATGTAGTCTGATCTCTACATTGTTAGGAAATACATCAAAAAGTTATTTGTGCTTTTGCTTTTTCCCAGGCATTTGGAGTATGGAAAATGGTTCCGTTCCTCTCATTACTCTTTTCTGATACTTCTCATCTTTTACAACAGAATGAACGTATAGTGTACTGGGTAGGGAGCGGACCCTGTTGCCTACTGACCTGCCTCTTCTCTGAATGTCAGTTTTCTCATCTGTCATGTGGGAGCAATCATCATTCTGGGCTGTGAGCACGAAAGAGTGAAGGGCTTGACACAGCCCTTTGTACACAGTAAGTGCTCAAGAGATGCCAGCTAGTATTGTTATTTTCAGATTGCTGAACCCTCTCCAACAAAACTAAAAAGAGGAATATATAGTGCTCGCTTTGGCAGGACATATACTAAAAAGAGGAATATATAGTCTGCTCTCCTACATTTAATTCAGTCAAAAACTTATCCCAAAGAGTTATTAAATAATTTTTCTTGTTTCTAGTTGTTAGTCACCTATGACATTTGGAGAAACAACTAAATGGTCAGCAGCTAAAAGCCTTTTGAATGAGAATACTCAGTTCTTCTATTTGGAGAAAAATTGAAGACCTCAACTTTCTCTTCATCTGCCAACAACTCCTACTCTTCTACCCTCTCTAAGAGTCAACCCCCATCCCTCAACACTTTTTGGGGGTTCTCCCTAGCTGCACATCTGTATATTCATCAACTGTGTACCGATTTGGGTGCACATAACAGAAAGCTGACCAAAATAGTATAAATGAGTGTATTGGTAATTTATTGCTGCATAACAAACTGCCGAAAATTTAGTAGCTTAAAACAATATGCATTTATTATTCACAGTTTCTGTGGATCAAGAGTCTGGGCATGGCTTAGTTGGGTCCTCTGCTCAGGGTCTCACAAGACTGCAACGCAGCTGTGCTGCATTCTAATCTGGAGGCTTGGCTGGGGAAGAATTCACTTCCAAGTTCATTCACGTTGTTTGTTGACTATTTTCCTCGCAGCTGTAGGACTGAGGGCCCTAGAATTTTGCTTACTGTAGACCACCTTATCTCCTAAAGGCCACCTACAGTTCCTAGAAGCTTCCTGAAATTTGTAGAGGCTTCCCACAGTTCCTAAAGACCACCTTGCCATGTGGGCTTTTACAATATGGTTGCTTACTTTATTAAATCAGCAAGGAGAGTCTCTAGAACAAGTCTGCTAACAAGATGAAGCCTATATAAAGAAACGTTATCATGGACATGATAACCTTTGCCATAGTCTATTGGTTAGAAGCAAGTCACAGGTCCTACCCATATTTAAGGAGAGTGGATCACACAAAGACATACTCACCTGAAGACGGGGATCATGGGGGCTACCTTCCAGTCTGTTCACCATCACAAGGAAGGGGGATATTTTTTCATGGTAACAAGAAGACTGAACACAGGTAGATAGGGGTTGAGGGAGCATCTCCATGTTGCTATCCATGCCCTAGGCTCTTTACTTCTTTCTGTTTTACCATCTTTCATTTTTTTGGTCATAAGATTGATGCTGCTATTCTAGACTCACATCCTCATTTAAAGCAGGAAGAATGGGGAAGAGAAAAAGACACATGCCAGCTAAGTATGACTCTTCATCAATAAAATAATAGATTCTCTGAAGCCTCACCCATATATGCGTTCACTGCCTCTCATTGACCTCATCTGTATCACATGGACACTTCTACTGCACAGGCCATTGGAATATATAAATTGTAATAAATGGTATTCATGTGACCTCCAACAAATGAGCAATGTCTGCCACAGATATTTTCAATATGTGGACATATGAGTGAAAGCTTCCAGTGAGGGCTAGCCTATGAGTTAAATCACAAAGCTTAAATGAGAAAATTAATGAAAAATCCTTTGCACAGTGCCTGGCACATAACAGTTTTTTGATCAAGGTTGCCTCTTCTCTTAGTTCCTCCCTTTTCCCTGCATTGTCCCCACTTCTTGGTCTGAATGCTCCAAGCACAGCAGCACGTCCAGAGTTGAGCACCCTGACACACAGACAAGTCGGCATTTGGTGCTCAGAGTAAAGTCGAGGAGGGAAGAATGTAATAGCCCCAGCTGGAACCCTGCCAGGGGACTAGCAACTGCAACACCCTTATTTACTCTAGGGAGGAGCAGCTTGGAAACTTTTTATGAGATTCCAGAAGCAGCAAGGTCATCAGTTTTATGGCCATCCTGCTTCATTTGTAAATACAGCCTTTGAATGATAATATTTGGGCTCCATGACAAGAACAAGGCTGATGCTAGCTCCTCTGGAATAGGGGACAATAAAATAAATAAAAGATATTGTATTTCACACAACTGCAAAGTTTGAGTCACTTCAGACCCCCAGCAAACAGCAACAACAAGCCAGTTGTACCTTCAGAGGGCTTCATTTCCAGGTTGCTTCATGGCAAACCCCCTGTGTGTGTCTAAGGTAGGTAATCTGATTTGTCAGGTCACAGGCAAAGCAACATGTGTTTACTATCATGCTCATTTTGCAGCCAGCTGTAAGAGTCTGGAGGAAAGCTCTTGGTCAGGCCTGTTTTCTGTGGTAAAGTCAAGGTCGAGGAGGAGGGCTGTGTCCCAGCCAGCCTTTGTGTGTTCTTGTAAATAGGAACCAGCTCCTCTATGGACACCTGGACCTCTTTCTCTAATTGCTCACTGGACCATGGCTTTTACTGCAGCTGAATATTTACTAGGCCGGGCCCAGGAAACATTCAGCCTCCACTGTCTGGCCAGCTGCCAGGGCCAGCTCTGATTGCTCTTGGCCATGGGGACAAGGTTGCCCTATCTTTGGTATTTTTTTCTTTGGGATACAAGACACAAAGGCAGAGCCAGCCTGTGTGTATCTGTGGGGACCGAAGGAGAGTGTGGTGAGTGGAGACAGGAAGTGGCAGAGAGGTGGGAAGACATTTTTCATAAATGGATACAATTTTCTCCTTTGTAGGCACAATTCCTGGCACCTAATAGACTCTTAGTGGATAGTTGTTGAATGAAGAAATGAGTGATTTTATTCATTTAACTAATATTTATTGAATACTACACAACACAGAACTTGACAGATAAGATTTGAACTCTCCTGGAACTTGAATTCTGGTGAGGGGTTAAAAACAACAAAGAACAGAATCCTGTATTCTTTGGCTACTGAATTTTAGATATCTCACGTGATTTTGTCTGACTTGTAGTTATAATTTATGAAGTCATATGAGGTTCATAACTTATGAACCTCACCTTTCTGGGTATCTGTGTCATAGAGTTGCTGAGAATTAAATGAGAAAATACACATGAAAGTCACTCTGTGAAATGAAATGCATGGTACAAATATTAGTCCCCAGCAAAGAGTGAAGCACAAAATAGACAGAAAAGACATTCATGTAGTTTTGGATTCTATTAAATTAAAAAATCAATAACATCAGATGGAAGAGACATGCAGAGAGAAATCTTAAGAGCCAAAGAAAATGTGTAATCTAATCAAGATATCAGGCCAAGCTGGAGCTGCAGGCATTCATGAGGCAGAATTGGGGTTATGTATATAATCTGAGTTCCAGGATGTGACCATGCCCCTTTTGAAGTTACAGAATCATTGATATAACCTCTAAAAATAGAGTTCCGTATGTCACATCAAGGTTACCAAAATCTCTGATCACGAGTCATTCCAAGAATGCTGAGATGGCAACTCCCCATACTTTGTGAGATGATTTAATAGTTCTCTTAGTTTTGTAAAAAGCATCGCCAAGGAAACCTGAGTTTCCAAATCTCTTGTCCAGCCAGATAGTTCTGTGCAAGGTAATTTCAGTTAACAGGGATGATGATCGTCTTTCTTACTGAGTAAGCATTTTTCATTTCCTAGAAGTTTTAGATTATATATACATGTGCTTAAAATGATCAGAACTATAGTATAAATATTTTTGTTATTTAGGCCATATTTTATATTTTTATATACTTATAATGTTTAAGAAAATTTGGCCTTTTAAAATGATATTCTGATAATTCTAATTTAAAGTATATAATTAATGAATTATTGAGACACAACTTTAAGTGGAAATTCATGTCAATCATATTTATAAACATAATTTATTAGGTTAGCTATTTGAGAACATTTGTTGATAAGACGATTGACGTGCTTAAGATGAAAATTGAATTTATAAATGCAGTTTAAACCACTGAAGGAATTTAATGATCTAAGGTAGCAATGTAACCAAGCATTGGTCAAAGGCCCTTTAAAAGTAACTAAAAAACAAATGATGGTTAAAATTTGCTTCACTTATAAATAAAAAAGTAAAATTTGCAAGTGAAATGTAAAATCCAAGAAAGAAAATATATTTTAAAATGTGTAACTTTAATCTAATAAATTGACCACTAACTTATAAATCCAAGATACACTTCTCAATAGTCTTTTCAGTACACGAACTCTCAGGGCATCAAAATAACTTAGATTCACGGAGGCAACCTGTCCAAAGGGCATATAGTTAATAGGAGGCCCAGTCACAATTTCAAGCCAAGGTCTGGATCCTGCATCTTTCAGTTGAACTCTGCTGCCCTTCTTGGCTGCATTTTTAGTACCTTACCTCTTTTATAGCACCCATAATATATTTTGCCTGGGATTGGAATTATTAATCTGTGTCTTATTTTGGCTACTTGCCTCACCCCAGCTGCTAACACAGGGTCAGACATAGGGTGGATGTGGGGGGACCTCAATAAATGTGTCGGATTCAAATGGTTGTAGGTCATAAATAGCCTCTGAGAAAGTGTGGCTGTCATGGGAGATGCATATAGAACGTTATCTCTCTGTGACACTGTTTAGCTTTACGGGGCTCTGAGTCACTTCATCAGAGGCCCAAGCTCTAATGAAGTGAATGTAAGCTAGCCCTGTGCTTTCTGCCTTATTTTAAGATCTGATTCCATGAATATCCTTCAATGTCTTCCCACTGCTCAGGATAAAGACCAAAATCCTTTCTATGCTTAATCAGACTAGTATAGTCCAGCCCCTGACCACCTCTTCAGACTCCCTACTCTATTTGCTCTGAGCACATGACCTTAATTTAGTTCCCTGAACAAACCAAGATTTTCTGCAGAAAATCTTGGTCTCTACATAAGGCACTCTTACAGCTCTCTGAACTTCTCCTTCACAGCACTTGCTAGAGGTTGTAATTATATATTTTTTATTTGTAGTTATTTAGTTAATATTTTCCTCCTATGGAAGGCCTTTAGCTCTGTGCACTTCGCCTGTTTTTTACTCACCATTATGCTTGGTGCACAGTAGAGGCTTAATAAATGTAGGCTTTTATTATTATTGTTAACATTTAATAAATGCCTGTTGTTGGGTTGAATGAATGAATGAATAAATGAATGAATGGGAGAATCGACTTTGTGGTGATCATTTAGACTGGCCTGATCTCCACTCACCCGGGAAGGATTTTAGATGAAATCTTATCAGACAGATAGGGGACATGATGTCTGAGATTCCTTCCAGGCCAGTGAGCCTTTTGCTCCAGGAAGGCTGTTTGTCACTTTGCTTTAGCCATTGCTTTTATCATTCTCATGGGGAACTCTGTGTGTGTGTGTGTGTGTGTGTGTGTGTGTGTGTGTGTGTGTGTGTGTGATAGAGACACAAACAGAGAGAGACAGAAACAGAGACAGAAAGAGACAGAGACACAGAGAGAGACAGACACAGAAAGACAGACAGACAGAAAGAAAGAGATTGTGCTGCCATGCAAGGTGGTGGGAAACAACCTAGGAGTCCTCTGCAAACGATCCTGGTCTCCATTTCCTTTCTTGCCTCATTCAAGCAAATGAGATCCACTTGTCAGGGAGTAGGGCGGCTGAAAAATGTCAAGCCTCTGAAAGTCAATGAATTTCACATTTCCAAATGATGGGTTTATGATTAAACTTCAATAACTCAAACGCACCATCCGTGAAGAAAGCCAGTTTCAACTGGTAATTCTTGTTCTCTTTAATCCCTCCTCCCCTTTATTTTTTTAATCTATGCCTCAAAATCCCTCAAATCACAGCCACGAGTGGGGGGTTGATGAAATTTTCTGATGACACGGAGACACTTACCGTGATGGTGAATCCATCCTGAACATTGTAGGAAAAGACACCCAAAAGCATGAGGCTGGAAAGACAGACAGATTCTCTAAAAATAGGCTTCAGGATTGCTGCTTTCATCCTCAGAGACTGGAGTTATACTGACCTCTAGCTGGATGAGGAGAGTGAGTTCAGCTGGTGCTTTCTACTCTGGTGGTTGGATGTTGGCTGATCGGAAATTAAAAGAGAATATTTGGGAATCTTCTTTTCCCTAAAAATGTTTCCTGTATTCTGCCTGGCTTCTCGTCCCCTCTTCAAACAATAATATCACCATTTATTTAGTATCCATGACGTGCTAGCCATTATGAGTTCCTATATTACCTCTATTTATTCCCAATGACCCTCTGAGGTAGGCATATGTTACTGTAGCATTTTCCTGGCAGGAAAGCTGATGCTCAGGAATTCTGCAACTTGCTCAGCATATACTCTTACGAGGGGACTGAACTAGTATTCTAATTGGGCTCGTCAACTCTAAAGCCTGTCCCCCTCCTCCAGAATCTGAGTATGGCAGAAACCCAGAGAGGGTTTGGGTGTTTGGTCCTCTCGCAGGGGCCTCTCTCTGGGAAAGATCTCTCAATCACTGTGCTTATTTGTTCTGCTTCTACCTTACTAATTCTTGTTTATAATCAGAAGCCAGGCAGAATCTCCTTCCAGACATGTCAGTCTCTGTAAAAGCGACCAGCTGCTTCCAAGGCCCTTCGCTGTCCTGTGATAACATCTTCATTTTCACAGTCTGAGAGCTCTGTTTTAAGCCATCGGGTGCCTGGTTAGTAGGAAATCAATGGAGCTACCCAATAATGACCTAAAATGGAATTTGAAAAACCCACTGGGGTTTGAAATGTCCAAGAGAGCGTAATTAAGTTTTCTGTTTATCTTTCTCTGTGTGTTTTTAAAACGTTGTATTTGAAACTTTTCTGGTTTCAAACCCATGATAAATGGGTTTTAAGCTAACTCTGTTAAAATGAGATTGGGGATAGATAGGATGTAAGAAAACAGTTTCATTCTCACCTTGAGAAAATGATTGAGCTAAGCATGTGGGTGGCAAAGTGGATGCAATAAGAGGAGGTGTTCCGAAAAAAAAAAAAAAAGCGGTACAAATTTCAGTTCTTTTCAAAATGTACGAACTGATTTAAGGACTATTACTGCTTATAAAATGGGGTGTTTCGGCTCTGTGTGGCAGTTTTCCAGTGTGCATCTGGGTTGTCCCACTGACATGGCTAAGACTTTTCAATGGCTTGCAAGCTACAAGACATTAAGCTAATGGCCTTTCTGGATTGCTTCATTCAGATGGAAGCTTGCCTACGGCAGTTTGACATGTTCCTATAAAAGTCACTGTTTACCTGACTTCATAGCATCTTATTGTAAACTCTCATAGACACCCAACTAATTTTAAAAATCACATGTTCTTTTAGATATTTTCTATGAATAAAATACAATTTTTGTTTAAAATTTTGAATTTAATATGCAGACAACATTTTTATTTATTAATGTAACAATGCCATGTTTCTAAGGCTGCAAATACTTCTATTTCATTTGCATTTTATTGTTCCACATTTAGTGAGTACATGCTCTCTGATGTTGAGCTGAGGCTAGATTCCATTCCATTTCATCGTATGTAAGAGCCATAATTTAGATAATGGCCCTCTCAGTGTTGGGGATTTTGATTTTTTGTATAACATTTTAACAAGATAAACATTGCTGTGATAAACTTGCTTGTAAGTACATAGGATTACTTCCTTAGAATAAATTTTCCGAAGTGGAGTTGCTGGGTCAGGAATGACAACTTCACTTCTAAAAATCTATGTTTAAATTCCTCTTCTGAAAAGTTATACTACTTACAGTTTATCTACGAGTGTGCATTTCCTCTATGCTTTAGCCTGCACAGGGTGACTGCTTAACCTACCAATAAATAGTATAAGAAAACTGACAAAGTTGGAGACTTTAAATACTATCCAGAAATCTCGATTTAATAAACACTCATGGACAATAAGTGTGAGTGAGGCATTCTGTAAGCTGGCAAGAATGTAGATACTGTTAAGACCAGCCTGGGTCTGTAAGAAACCCAGAGTGTAGTGGGGGAATTGGATGTGAAAGAGCAGAGTGTGTCTGGAGAAACTCTGGCAGAGTGGTATGGCTGGAGCTTAACGTATGATGGGTGATGAGACAGAAAGGATCAGTGTGGAGCTCTTGAATTTCTCTCTAAGGTTATGGGCTGTCCTCTAAAGTTATGGCTGTGGATAGACATGAACACTTTTGCGAAGAGGAATGTTATGAGTAGATCTGATGTTTTAAAAATCATCCTGGTCCCATTTCATCTCAGCCCTTCTTCCCTTTTCATCTTTCTGCTACTGCTTCCTTTCAGAAGCAAGAAGAGAGGGTTGAGAGAGTACGTGGTTGTTTGTGTCTGTCTGCATTATTTACTTCTTAAAATTAAAATTTTTTGAAAGAGAGGGTTTTTCTTGTGTAGGTATTCATGCAGAAACCTAGGGGAGCTTAAGAATAAAGTGTGTGGAGGGGTGGCAAACAAAAATACTTATAACCTCATTAACGACATTAAAAATAAAAAAAAAATTTTTTTGCTCTGGGACAAAAAAGATGGAGATTGATTTTTGCAAAAAAAAATTGCTAGTTTAGCTTTTCTTAAAAGACAGTTTTCTATTTGCATTTCAAATTCATCAGTTTAAAAAACATTAAATTCAATAATAATGATCTGACCTTATGTTTCAGGAAATTAAATATTATGCATTTCATTCTGGTTGAAGATAAATCAACACTGTAGTTCAGTTCTGCAAAAATGTTATATTTGAAAATCAAACAAGTTAGAAATATGGATAAAGGGCAAATCAAAGGAAGGAAAGAAGGGTAAGAGGTGGAGAAAAAAAGGGAAAATTAAAAGCTTAAACATGGTTTCACAAGTCCTTTTTCTGAAGCAAAGGCTCAACTGAGCATTTTTTTTTTTTAAAAAACTTGTCTGCATAAGCTGTTAGAAACAAAATGGAAATTATAGTAATCTCAAAATTATATTAAGTTCTGGTGTCTGTATCTTTGTGTTCTCTTCTTTAGGATCATGCAGAAAGTTGCTCAAGAGCCATAAAACTCTGGCCTCCAATGTGACATGTGACCAGAATGGTCAAGCCAACACCTGGTGCCTCACTCTCGATCTTTCAGTTCACAGGTAGGTCTTCTCTTGGCCCTAGAGAAAAGATAACATAAGAGAACAGATATGGAAATATTCTGGAAGGTAAAAAGAAAATTTGTTACAAACACAAACCTTTAAAAAATTATCGTTCTTTTTTAGATTGATTTAGCATAACAAATTGCAACACACACCCATATAAGATTCAGTGAACCAGTCATCTGTTGTCAGGACAGAAATTTTCTAGTGACTTATCACATCTTTTCCATATATTTACCAGGACAGAATGAATCCCAAAGTAGTCCATGTTGGACCAATGTTGCTGTGCAGTGGACAACTGGTTTTCCTTACATATCTCTGTTTCCAATTCTTCTGGAGTTATGGATCATACTTGTTTTGTTTCACTTGTGTGCATTTTCCTCCTTAATAACTGAAACCTGTTTTATCCATGACTCTTTTGGTATGGATAACTTTTACAAATTGATCTTATAATGTCTTACACATTGACCAAGAGTCTTACTGACCCTCTTGTTTACAAATTAATGCTAATAAAAACAGGAATGACATAATCATTATATTCAGGAATTTCTGAAATGGTTAGCATTGTGTTCGGTCAATGATCTACAATCTGCTAGCATAAATCTTCATTTGTAGAAACGGAAGTGTCATTCTTTGCATTCTGTTATTTTGTAATTAATTCATTTACACAGATTTTCAGTACAAGTTAATTATGGAACTTAAAGAACTATCCATATGCTTTTCTTCTCTGGTCTCCTGCCTTAGACATCTGAATCCTATACTGCCACTCCTTAAATATGTTCAATAAATTTTCATAAAGAGACCTACCTCTCCCCTGCTTTTTTATCTAATATACTGTAAAGGTGTTTTCTATGTAGAGCTGGAAACTACCCAAGATTCTTTAAATCCTGCTGGTTTTAGATGTTTTAGTTGAGGCTAACCTTACTTAGTAAGAGAAAGAATGTTAGATTATCCAGGGCCATTGGCTCAGCCTCCAAATGAGTGACCATAGGTCTTGGTTGAGATGAAAGGAATAGATGATCCTGTCCTGGATGAATTATTGATGGATTATTATTGAGTTGCCAAACCTGACCCTTTGGCCTTCAGATCTAGTGTAACATGAAAAAACCCTTCTAGAACTATTCTTCTTCATGGCAGTGTCAGGGGCCTTCTGTTTGAATATGTCTTGTTTGAAGCCCTACAAAAGAGACAGGGTGTACTCAGAGACATGATGTTTACCATGAGCGGGAAAGAAGATTGATGGAAAGTCTCAGCTTATCTAAAACTCAGAGGCCAGGCCATGAGATAACAACATACTGTTTTAAAAGCATTTATGTCCAGAAAGAGGAGTTATGCAAGGCGCCAAAGCATGGCCATTGTGGTGCGAACAGGATCTCCTAATCGCTACCCAACCCTGGAATGTCCTTTTTTGAGAATCTTGGTTTGGAAGAAAGTGAGGTAAAATATAAGAGGGAGATTTATTTATGCATTCCTCTTCATCGTTTGCTAATAATAACTATCAGCTTAAGAGCTTACTATTCTAAATGCTTCGTATAGACTTATCAAAGCTTGATTTTATCCTCCCCTATTATAGATGAGAAAACCAAGGGTCAGAAAATGTCAATAGCTTTCCCATGACACAGAGCTGCATACAAAAATACACATACAGACCCAGACGAAGGCTACCTTGACTAAGGGGGATTGATGGACCATGTGCATTAGCTAAGAAGAATCTTTGTCCACGCTCCATTGTTAAGAGCAAGACACCACTCTTGTGCCTGGTGACTACCCAGTGGCAGCTCTAGCTTCTCTTCACTCCCACCTGCTGCCAAAGACCCTGTGCTAATGGTATTACAAATAAAAAGAGTGGGAAAAAATTTTTTGTAAACTTTGTTTTATATTTAAAAAAATCCATAAGTCTGTGTGTGTTAAACATGAGGTCCTGCCTCTGTGGCTGTGTTTAAAAAAAATAAAGTTTTATTAGAATTAAAAAAAAGAGAGAGAGAAAAGCACCACTCGATAGGTAGTTAGGTAAGTAGCACAGTTTTCTTTAAAACTGCAATAAAAATAGAAAACAGTCAGTCCAAGTGAATTTTGTGAAAGCAGTGAAAATTCATTCCTATGCCTTTTTATCTGCGCCCTGAAGGGTAACTAGTAGAGTTGTCACTGGTGAAAAATGGTGCCAAGGCCCTGTCAGAGTATCGGTTTACAAAGAACACTGCTGCCATTTTTGCTGACTCTGACTTCCAGCACCACAGAGGAGTCATACTTTCTGGAAAGACTGTCAACCAAAAACAGCGGAAGCACAAAACTTGTTTTGCTTATTCCTCAGTTACCCAGAGCATCCTAGTTAAGGTTTCTCTATATTGATTTGATACATTTCAAGGAACAGAAAGTGTGGCTGGGCAGAGTGAGTCCCGGGGTAGTAGCAGATGAGTCTGAAGAGGCAGCATGGACCAATGAGAGCGTGCTCCGTGGACCTTGTAAGGATCTGGGGTTTTATTACAGTACAAAGACAAGCCACTGAAGAGCTTGGAGCTAGGTAGTGACATGATCTGATGTATAATTTTAAAGGGTCATCCTGACTGCTTTATGTAGTTAATATTTGTGTAGTTAATGCATTGGAAGTGGACTGAAGAAGCCATGGCATTTTAGACTTGAGGGGTAGCAATGATGATAGAAAAAAGTGCATGGACTTGTGATATATTTTGGAAGGAGGAATTACAGGTTGGCAATGGATTGTATGAGGGGTAAGGTGAGTCAAGGATGACCCAAGTTGCCCAGCTTGAACAACTAGATAGAAAATGGTGACATTTGTTGAGGTATAGAAGACTGCCAGCCTTGAAGGAGATAATCGAGAGTTCAATTATAGATATGTTAAGCAGATATCAAAGCACAAGCATGTAATAAGCAGCTGGAAGTGTTGATTAGGAGGTCAAAGGAACTATCTGGAATAGAGATATAAATATGAAAGTCATTGGCATATAGATGGTCTTTGAATCCTTGGGAATAAGTAAGAACCCTTGAGATTAAAATGTCAGGGAAGAAAATAAAAGGGCCAGCACTGTGTTTTGAGGACTTCAATATTTATCAGGTTAGTAGAGGAGGGAGAGCCAATACAGTCAACTGAGAGAATGGAACTCAGAGAAAGAATATTACAAAAAGGAGGGAGTGTTCAGTTTTATCAGTTGGAATCAGGTAAGATGAGGATTTCATTGCAAGGTTAAATGTACATTTCCCAGGGAAAATTATATGCCATGGGTGGTCTCAAAATTAGAGATTTGCAAATATATTAGAACATGTATTAGGCAAATATTAAGAGTTTACCATTAGCTTGCAGAGCATAAAAGCTGTTTTAAATCACTTTTCAACCCAGCTAAGTTATTAGTATGGTGGGGGCAGGAATTGGGGCAAAGTCAGGACTCCTCATCCTGTTGAAATTTCCTAATGGACAACTCACAGAGAATGCAAAGTTCTTAACAATGTGCATCATAATTGAAGAAGGGAAAGAATTTGGAGAGTGTTCTTTGCAAAACCCAGAGCAGTGTGGACAGGGCAGAGCATATTGTCTTTATGGTCATAGCAGAGTTATTAGGTACTTTTTTCATCTTCATTTAACAGACACTTTTCAGAACATGTCCAACAGGGAGATCTTGAAAACAACCAAAGGCAATATTAGGCTTTAAAGGCTAGATCTTGCTTTGGGATTTCAGAACAGAAATTAGGGTTCTCTTTAAAAGCAAGAGAAAAAATCTTCTTATGTGATTGATACCAAGATTTCTCTTCAGGTGAATTTGAAAATGAACTGACCAAACCTGCTTTGCCCAATTTAGGCTTCTTTTGAGGCTGAAACATATCTGAAGACTAAAATAGAACAGATTATATCCAAAGGGGATTAAGAGATTTCTGACAATTGCTGCAGAGAATCAGAGGAATACACATGCATAGCTGGAGAGACAGAGAGAGAATAGAGCCCACAGAGAGCTTACGACACTGGAGTGAAGAATGAGATTTTATTGGGAAGAGACCAAATGTCAGAATTCTTCCAGTAGAGTAGTTTTACTTATGAAGGACCAGTTTCTCTGATTAAGTCCCAGACCTTTCCCAGTATCCTTAAAAATCAGAAAAATAATGCACATGGGAAGGAAAAGAGTTAAGGACATGGAAATGTAATTTTAAGAGAAAAATCAAAATGCAGGGGAATGAAAGCTGAGATTCTATTTACATAGCATTTAAAAACAAATGAAACAAAAAATGCAGTGTCTAAGGATATATGAATGAATAGTAAAGCTCAAAAGAGAAACTAAGGGAAGGAGGGAAAAAAGCAAAATTGAAGAGAGTGGATACCTCTTGGCAGGGAGGTAGAGAAGTGGCATCGGGAGGGGGCACACAAGAAGCTTCTCTTTCATAAATGAAGGGGTGGATTATGGGTGTTTATTATATTTTATGCTTTATTATGTGTGTATGTTAAATACATTCTTTTATAGGTAGCAACAATTGTATAAGAAAACAATGAAAAGGGAAGAAGTAATCATAGAAACTTTTCAAAAGAAGAAACAAATTGGTCCAAAAGATGCCAGAAATACCAGCGGAGGCAGGAGAAGCACCAAGGGCTTTCAGAACAGAAAGCATATGGTTGTTCCTTCTCTACACACTCTCCACCTCAGGACTGATTTGCCTCAAGGCTATGATGCTTTGAAAAATTAGCCCTTGTCACTTAGCTAAATGACCTTGACCAGGTCCATTTCCTGCTTGGGACCTTAGTTTCCTTAACTGGAAAAAAAAAAAAATAGGGTCTGGGTTGGAAATCAGGGCTGGAAATTACATGTATATCCTACTCCATTCTGTGCCCATGGCAGATGTGAACACTTGATTACAACACTCATTCTCCTCGAATTGAGAAGAAACCTCTCAGTTGTTTTCAACATAGAACTAACTTCAGCCAATTGACCACACATTGCGCATGAGAGAGAAGTCTATATTCCTAAGAATTGATATCTAAAGTTCCTTCAAGGTTTGTC